CAAAGAGGATGATGCCCCTGATCCTATCGTGAGTTTTCTTCGCCTTATTCTCAGTTTTGGTTTTTGACTTCTACATTATTATCTCGGATTTAGGAATAATGTTCTTGAAACTATTGACTGAGGATTCTAACCATGTGTCTTGATCAGATAAATACATGCAATGGTTTTTACTGTGATGAATTTTCTCCCAACAAACCTTACAAGCCCACTATGTGGACTGAAGCTTGGAGTGGCTGGTAAACATCTTGTTTCTCAAAGACTTGAGTAATGCAAATATATGCTCATTTTTATGAACTGGTTCTCATATTCTTCTTTGTTGAAAGAAGGTTCACTGAATTTGGTGGCACTATACCTATGAGGCCAGTTCAAGATTTGGCATTTGCCGTTGCTCGTTTCATACAAAAAGGTGGTTCATTTGTTAATTATTACATGGTAAATGAACTTCCTCAGCAAAAAGAAAATACAACATTCATATTGAACATGTTATGTATAAAATGATCTTGATTGACTTTAACTATTTTTTCGGTTGCTTGCCTTTAACTATTCCTTCTTTTCACAGTTTCATGGGGGGACCAACTTTGGGCGCACAGCGGGAGGCCCTTTTATAACGACAAGCTATGATTATGATGCTCCAATTGATGAATATGGTGAGGTTAATCAGCTTAGTCCGTATTCTCTACAGATTTACAGCTTATCATTTCTATAAAGTCCTTTTATTTCATGATATAAGCTGAAGTCTTCCTTGATCAAACTATCAATTGAACATTTAGTTATCAGCTAAGTTCTTTAACTTCATATTTAATCAGGTTTGATCAGGGAGCCTAAATATAGCCATCTAAAGGAGCTCCACAGGGCAATTAAACTATGTGAGCGAGCTTTAATATCTTCAGATCCCAATGTTATTTCACTAGGAAGCTCTCAGGAGGTTAGTCCTCAATTAATAAGGGTCAAAAATATGATATATGCTTTACTATTTTGTGTTGCTGAATCAACAAAGTCATTTCCTTTAGGCTCATGTATTCTCGTCTGGCAAAAGAAACTGTGCAGCATTTCTCTCAAATTACGACAGCAACTCTGCTGCTAGAGTAGTTTTTAACAACAAGCACTTTAATCTTCCTCCTTGGTCCATTAGTATTCTTCCGGACTGTACGCATGTTGCCTTCAATACTGCGAAGGTAAGTAAGGTTCCAGCAAGTACAATTTGCACCATTTCATGCGTAGCTATGTGCTTTACCTTTCAGTTTAGTGATTTAAAACATCTTTTTCTTGCTAAGGTTGGGACTCGAACTTCACAAGTGAAAATGATACCAACTGGCTCTCAGCTCCACTCTTGGGGGGCTTATAGCGAAGATGTATTTTCTCTAGAGGACAGTTCAACATTTGCAGCTAATGGACTTTTGGAGCAGATTAATATCACCAGAGATAACAGTGATTACTTGTGGTACATAACAAGGTGAGGTTCATATTTAAGTAGAAAAATCATCCAACATGAGTACATAAATCTTCTAATTACATCTAAATAAGTACATTTTTGGCCTTTCTTTCTTGTAATGCAGTGTTGATATTAGTCCCTCAGAATCATTTTTGCGAGGGGGACAAAAGCCTACGCTCAGCGTCCACTCAAGTGGGCATGCAGTTCATGTCTTTGTCAACGGGAAACTTTCTGGTAATGATGCATATATGCACATTGGTAGAACAGCTACCAGGAAACATTTTTGGTATTTCCGCTGTTGTGGTTATAACATTTTCCGGGACGTAATCAATTCATAATTTCAGGATCTTCTTATGGTAGTCGGAGGGATACAAAGTTCACTTTCACAGGACCAGTTGGCCTGCAGGCCGGAACCAATAGAATTGAGCTACTGAGCATTGCTGTTGGCCTGCCGGTTAGTTTCTCATCTTTACCACCTACAATACTTATCTACAAGAAAGAAGAAGGCAATTTCTTCTGACTCTTTCATTGCTGCTAGACTACCACTGTGTAATTAGGATTCATTTCAGGCAGAAATAAATGCAATTCTACTTGTGTTACTTTATGCTGCTGCATTAATAGTTTTTCGTTCTCAACTGATTTTAAATATTCTTATTGCCTTGAAGAATATTGGACTGCATTACGAGGAGTGGAACACAGGAATACTCGGGCCAGTTGTTATTCAAGGTCTCAACCAGGGCCATAAAGATATATCGTCGCAGAAATGGACATACAAAGTACTGAATCTTACCAAATCTTTTACTCTTTCTTTTGTCTTCAAAAGGATATTGACAGTAGAAGAGTTTCTTCACGATATAATTAATATGTTCCTCCTTAAACAGGTCGGATTGAAAGGAGAAGCAATGAACTTGATCTCTCATCATGGAGTGTCTTCAGTTGATTGGATTGGTGGTGCACTAGCTACCCAAGGACAACAACCTCTTAAATGGTACAAGGTAAGAAATTGAGAACACAAGTTTTGGGATATTAATAACAGAGACACGTTAGTCCATTTACTTTAGGTCCTATGTTTTCTAGGAGTTATAGTCATGCCATAGATTTTTATGCCAAATAGAAAATATAGTGAGCTAGTACTTTTGGCAGCCTGGTGCACTAAGCTCCCGCTATGCGCGAGGTTCAGGGAAGGGCCTGACCACAAGTATCTATTGTATGTAGCCTTACCCTGCATTTCTGCAAGAGGTTGTTTCTACGGCTCGAACCCGTGAATTGAGCTAGTACTTTCTATTTTCATTTTTATTTTGTATGGTATTGGTCTATGATGAGCTAAAATAGAGCGACATGGCTGGAGAAGATTCATATAGCCGACTCCACTTGTTGCTGGAACTTATGACTCATCTTGGAATTTTTGTTTCAGGCTTATTTCGATGCACCAGAGGGAAATGACCCTGTGGCCTTAGACATGAGAAGCATGGGTAAGGGACAAGTTTGGATCAACGGACAAAGCATAGGTAGATATTGGACAGCATCTGCTAATGGCAATTGTGATGCTTTCCACTATGCTGGAACTTACAGACAAACTAAATGTCAACTTGGTTGTGGACAACCAACTCAGAAATGGTAGTTCTTGAATTTTTACTGATTCTGTCATCGCTAGAAGCATTTTACTACTGCTTAAATTTCCTTTATATCATTAAATACACATTAGAATTTCCTAACTAATCCTTTGTCTATTCCGCTAATTCTCAGGTACCATGTCCCAAGGTCTTGGTTGAAGCCAACACAAAATTTGCTTGTCTTGTTCGAGGAACTAGGTGGTGATGTATCAAAGATATTGTTAGTGAAAAGGACAACTTCATGAGTTCAGTTAGTTTAGGAAACGTCTCCAGTAGGAAGGAATTCTGTAGGTTTTTTTTATCATTAGGGATAAATCCATGTAATAGAGTCACATTTCTTGGAAAAAGCCAAGATCTAGGAGAATTTCTGGATGCTTTTCCACTTTGCTTGGTGGATTGATGTATATGTTTGACGTCTTCTGTTCCCGGTCACAGTTTGGTGTCTCACATTCTTTCTGACATTGTGTAACAATGACCTTCATCAAGAAAATAACTAGACAGAAGGTCTCAAGTCATATTTCATATCCGTTTCTGAATGAGCAAGAGGGAACAAGAAGGGGAAATTTATCACTTTCCTACTTTATTAACTGGATCTCTTGCAATCGAAATGTAACAAAATGTGGCTCTTGTCATATCGAGGGTCTACCGGAAACAACCTCTCTACCTTCATAAGGTAGGGGTAAGATTTACGTACACATTACCCTCCTTAGACCCCACTTGTGGGACTTTACTAGGTTTGTTGTTGTTGTTGTTGCTGTTGCGGCTCTTGTCATATCGCAGCAGCAGCAAATTTTGGTTCCCAATGATTTATAAACTTGTATCAGGCCAAGAAATGTTGCTTGTGTGTCCAAGAAAAGTTGCTTGTTCAAAGGACACAAGCACACACATATTCAGAATTACTCACAGATGCTGATAATGTACACCAAGAGCAGAGAAAGATCTATGAACTTGCAAATAAGTTCAGTTCTGTCCAAGCAAAATGGAAGCTTCACAAGAGTAAAAGCCGGAAAATAGTCTAGTTGATAGAAATTAAAGGGCATATAGCCTTAGACCATATGTACAAATCAGATTCCAAACACCAAAACAAAGGTTCATAAAAGTATGATTGATAATAAACAAACAACAATCAATAGATCCAAATTCGATCAAGTTACATGGTTATTGCAAGAAAGGTACTGATTTCACTATCAGTCACTAACTTTTTAATTGTAGATGTGTTCAATCTTTAGGTTCTACAATATTATGGTTCAAAATTAATGTCTGTTAAACTTTTAGTTACTTTTTACACACAAATATGCGTGTGTTTCGAATCGAAAACAACTAGCTCAATTAAACCTTTTCACAATTTACCATGTGGTGAATGGTGATATATCAAAGATGTGGGTCGTTCCACTTGCATGCATGCCACGTTTAAGGATAACTACGTGGTGAATGGTGATGTACCAAAGATGTCGTTGGTGAAAATAACAACTTCCAGAGTTGAGTTAATTTAGGAAAGTCTCCAAAACCAATTTTGTAGGCTTTGATCATTCGGGGTAACTTCATGTAAAAGGCGTACATTCACTATATAACGGTCCTTCACTGTAAAACTCGAGTTTTATATGAAACTAATTTTCATGCTATGTTATAATATATATTCTCCATAACAGCACTTCGCTATGACAGCCAACAAAATCAGGAACAAATGATGTTGCTATAGAGAGGTTTGACTGTATATGTTAGATATATCATGTTCCTCATTCTAGTGAAATCTATGTTCAAACACATATTCTAACTTCCAAAATATACTTTTCCACTCAAAACTCGAACACTCTATTTTCCAATTTTAACCAAAGTTTATTGTCCAAACGCATTCTCAAAGATACTCTGGGATGCTGGAAATGTACCAAGAGAACCAAAAGAACAAAACAAATGCAAATAAGTCAGTGCTATCTAAGCAAAATGAGAGCTTCACAACAGTAGAAATCTAAAAGTAGTCTTTTTGTAGAATTGGGCATATAGCCTTACACCAGTAATGCACAAATCAGATTCCAAGCAACAAGACAAGGTTCACAAAAGCAATAAAAACATGGTGGATAGTACAACCATACAGTGATCCATAGTGTGAAATTCGAACAAGTTACTTGGTTATTACAAAAGACAATACTACTAAATATGGGATATCATCCCCTTGATTAAGGAGATTCAAGCAGTGACAGTAGCAGGAGCAGCATGCTTCACTATGGTCTGCTGCAACTCCTCTTTCTTGGCACCAACAACTCTGTCCACTTCTTTTCCATCTTTAATGAAGACAAAAGTTGGCATTGCCTCCACACTCCATTCCGCTGAAACAGTCTGTAACAACGGTACCAATTTACTATCAATCACTATCTACACCTGTCAAAAAATGGTAACTAAATTGACAAAAAAAAAAAGGTTTAAATGATGTACCTTCAGTTCATCAACATCAACCTTGAGGAATATAACATGGGGCATCTTCTTAGCAATGTCAGCAAGAATTGGGGCAATAAAACGGCAAGGGCCGCACCATGAAGCAGTAAAATCGACCACCACCTAAACCAAAGAGTTGTTTTTTACATAAGTTAGGCGTGTTAAAGGAAAAGATATATGCCCCAACAACAACAACAACAAAAAACCCAGTATATTACCACATGTGGGGTATGGGGAGGGTAGTGTGTACGCAAATCTTACCCCTACCCCACCTAGTGAAGGTAGAGAGGCGGTTTCCAATTTATGCCCCAACAGCTTCTAAAAATATGAAGCATATTTAAGGGTACCATCATTCTTGTACTAATTGTAGCAGCCAGGGACTAATGTATAAAGACTTCGGCATAACTTATGTTCATATAGTTAAAACATTCATCGAATACATTTGCTTATACTAAGTTCAAAACTTTAAATCGACTGTCATAAAGAAAGTATTGATTTGAAAGTAGGATTTCCGCGAAATAACTTCTAGAAATCTGAAGCATATTCAAAGGATACCCATCATTTTGTACTTCAAATTTTTAGCTAAGCAACTAGTAGCTTGATATATAGTTACTTAGCCACGACCTATATACATATACTCAGGGTTTTTTTAATCAAAAAGATGCTTATGCTAAATTCGAATTTAGTGTCACAGAGAAATAGTGATTGCAATTATATTCCACTCAGCTAATTTAAAATCCTAGAATGGTTACTTTAAACAATTAAACAATCACAAAAAGCATCATATCAACTTTATAATTGGATCTTGTCTTCACACAATAGATTCGATTTATCAAAAAAGAAATCATCCTTCTCAAAAAGCCTTTGACCGCATACATATAATTCCAAGGGGCCCAAATAGCGACCCACCCGAATCTCTTTTTCCCAAACAATTCAGCATGGAAGCAACTTTAACTAGGAATTTGTTCCAAAAAATAGCAATTATGCCAATCAAATGAGTAAAATAGGGATTGTATTGACATGGGCATTCATTGATTTCTATAAATATACACTACACAACAGAAACAGCAAATCATAAGTAAACATGTTACAATTAACTGAAAATCAAACACTGAATAGATAAAGGCATACATTTTAAGCAACTACAGAAACAGATCAGAAAGAAATGTAAGCAAACGAAAACCCAAAAAATACCCACAAACTAGCAACAGCTGAAGAAATCATAAAAACAAAAAAACCCATTTTAAAAAATCAAATGTTGAACAAAAGCCAAGTCACAAAAATATAGTAACAAAGAACTCAAAGTAAACAAAATCAAAATTAGTAAAAAAAGTCAAAGTAATATAATCATACCAGTTTCTTAGTCTCAACGCCTTTCTTGAAGTACTCGTTCCATTCCTCAACCTTGTGGCAGCCGAACACTTGTCCCTCCTCGGATGAAGTAGCATCGTTAGCAGCCATTTCTCACAAAGTTCTTAGAAGCAAAATAACTCAAACAACCAAACAAGCCCTTAACTTTAGTTTCTCGTAAAACTAACGCTGAATGCCACTGTATTCCCAAGCAGACTTTATATAGGGACAGGGATGTGATAAATTACCAAAACGTAACCGATTTTAAGCTTTATTACGAAATAACCATACGCGTCATAGTGTGAACACTTTTAGTCGGTCTAAATATTTTGAAAAATATCATACAAAGGACCGTTTGACCATGAGTTTTGCCAAAATAAATTTGGAATTTATTTGGCAAATACATATTTGACCATAGATTTTGTCCATATTTTGGCAAAATCTCCAATCCCAAATCCAAAATCCTAAAATCACCTCAATTGGTGATTTTGGGCCAAAACATGACCACTACATTTTTAAAAAAATTTAAATATTACCATAAACTTTTATAGTTTGTAAAAGAGCCCACATTTATTACGACCAACTAAATATTTGATGAATATGCTCCCTTATCAGCTCAATCCTTTGTGCATCTTACTTTTGCTTCTGATTTGTAGGCTAAATGGCTTTCTGAATGCTCATATCAGTTAACTTTTTCTTTTTAATTAGGAGCCGTAATTCTCTAATGGGATTTCATTGTAATTAATGATTTATATAGTTCATTGTAAAAATGATAATTTTATACCAAACTTATTTATGTTATGGACTATGGTTTGTGATAATGGTACTATTGGGTATTTGTGATAGTTTTTAGAACTTATGGGGTATAAGTCATGTTTCATATTTTTTCAACTAAAAAGTGAAATATGTTTTGAAAAATCATGTCCAAACACATTTTCATCTTCAAACCAAACTTCACCCAAATCAGATTTTTCAAAACAAATTTGGGACTCTATGGCCAAACGCTAGCTAAGAGTCCGTTTGGACAAAAGAATTTTTTCGCTTTTTTAAAAAAATTAGTGTTTGGCCATAAAATTTTTAATTTTCAGTTAAAAATAATTTTTCGAAAATTTGAAAAACTCCAAAAAACTATTTTTCAAAATTTTCACTCAGATCACTCACAAAAATTCAAAAATAACCCAAAATTATATTCATGTCCAAATACAACTCTAATTTTCAAATACCATTTTCACTTGAAAAAAAAAATATTTTTTCTTAAAATTTTATATAATTCTTATGTCAGGATTGCGGTGAAATAGTCAAATTATTCCATCACTAATTAAAGATCTCTAGTTCTAACACATAAAATCCAAACAAATTTTTGAAAGAAAGTGATGTTTTTTTAAATGAGCCTTATGTTGTATAAATTTAACTTACTCGACTGTTCACTTTTACTTTGTATTCTAAAAATATAATTTTTATTTTTATTTATTCATTATATTAAATTAAGAGAAAAATAAAATAAAAATTGATAATTTTACCCTTATCATTAACTATTGATTTCCCAAATCATTTTTCATGACTTTTTAAAAATATTATTTTTATTATATAAAATTATAAAATATATATTTTACATATTTATTTGTCAAAAGTGAATAATTAAAAACGAACGAAAATAAAAAATTAAAAAGAATAAAGAAAAATGAAGGATATTGCGAGGGAGGAAACACGTGGGCAACAAGAGAAAGAGACAGAAGATATTGGCTAAGTTCTATTTGAGAGAGTAGCGTCACTGATGAGGTTGTACTTGTGACGCAGAAAAATTTCAAAGTGTGAATTGTCTCGAACAATTACGACTTTGATGATTTCTAAGGTCAAAAGTATTAATTTAATGCCCACTAGTCTTCATTTAAACTTTGCAAAGTTGTCATTTGTACGATGTATTTCTAGATTATTCCATAATTTCAAGATAATATATGGTTGGTTGAGATCATGTTTTCATTATCTTATACCGGCCAAGCTCAGACCGACCATCTTAAGAATTCTACAGATTATTATAAGGACAAGTGTAAATGTTGGAGAGAAAAAAAAAAAAGATAAGTGTTATATACTTAACGGCCAAGCAATAGGACGTGGAAACCAGCGGCGGAGCTAGGACTTTCATTAAAGAAAGTTAAAATATAAAAAAATAAATTCACTAAGAAGTCAAACAGTGTCATTATATAGCTTATATACATATTTTAAAAAATAACTATCGAGCTAAACAGTGTAATTTTCTAACGAAGGGGTGTGGCTTCTTGGGTGCATGTGGCTCCGCCACTGGTAGAACCACGACTTTTCTTTTCCAGAGGTGATGTCAGGATTTGAAGGTGACAGGGGCACATGAGCAAATGGTCAACCAGTGCTCCTCGACAGACTTTGAATTTTAAAAGTGTCAAGCAAAATATGTGATCGTTTTTAATATACATTTATATTTATATATTCAAAATGTCGAAGTTAACGTGGTTCGGTGAGCCCTCCTCTCCAAGTAATAGGTCTGTCTCTGTCCTTTCTAGTTTTTGAAGAACGCTATTATTGTTCTTTTCTAGGCCCAAATACTAAGCAACAACATAAATGGACGGGTAATTGGGCTAGTCTGGCCCATCCCTTAATGGTCTGACATGGTCCATCGTAGCTAAAAGAACCTTTAAGTTTTAGGTGGCATTCTACTTGGATAAACACTTTGGTTTTGGTTTCATTTTGAGTTTGGTCTGATTATTAAGAAAGATTTATGTACCAAGTTTAGAAGATTCTTAGGCCTCATTTATTTATTTTTTAAGATGAAGATGTTTGAATATAAATACATATTTGAATATCAAGATGTGCATTAAGATTAAGACGCCTGAATCTGAATACACATGAATATAAATATGTGTATCAAGATCTGAATACTAAAATATTAAGATTGTTTGTTTTTTAACATCTGAATGTATAAATTTATATTTATTTAAAAATTAATAAATATAAATTTTAAATAAAATACTAATTAATCTGATATTATATTAATAAAATATATATTTTTTAATATGATACCTAGTGGTGGTGATGGCTAACGGTAGTGATTGTGAATGCCAACTAGAGGCGGTAGTTGGTGGTGGTTTTGGTTGACGGTGGTGGTTCTAGGTTGTAGCTACTGGTGATTGATAGTGATAGCGATTATGGTTGGGGATAGTGGTGGTGGTAGTGGTAGTTTATAATTGTGGGCAGTGCCGGCTATAGTTGTTGATGGTGATGGGGGTGCTTAGTTGTGGCATTTAAGGTGGATGAGTTTGTGGTTGTGGTTAAGAATGATGGTGGAGGGGTAGTGAGGATGGTGGGTGGTGGTTGTCGATAATGGCGGCGGCGATGATTAAGTATGGTGGTGGTAGTGGCGGTTGAGTATGGTGGCAGTAGATGGCATGGTGATAATTGATAATGGTAGAAGGTGGCGATAACTAATAATGAATAGGGATGATAACATCTTAATGAAATTTAGTCTTTGTTATAAATTTTAATGATACAAATCTATTTAGACACATTAAGTGGTTGTGAAGTAAAAAAAAAAAATACTTAATGATTAAGATCTACATGATTATAATTTAGAATTTAAAAACAAACATACTTAATATCTGATATTTGAATAATTATGATTTAGACCTCCATTAAGGGCATTTCCAACCTTCACTCCAAATCTTTACACCAAAATAGAGTAAACTAATTCCAACCATTACTTTATTTTTTACTCCAAAAAAATTATTCTTTTTTATATTCTTCTCTCTCTTCCATCTTATATTATAAATGATGCAATTGTTGGAATAACATAAATGTGAAAAAAATTACGGGAAAAGTGAAGAGGGAAAAAAATATAGGGAAAAGGAGATAAAAGATAAAACCAAATCGTGGCCAAAATGAGACATGCCACATCGCATGCTAATGTCTCTCAGTTATAAATATATATAGATTATTATTTTTTATTTAAATTTAATTTTCTTATTCCTATTAAACAAATCCTATTTTTTCCTTTTTTACATATTCATCCCATATAATTCATATTTCTTTTATATATAACCATTATAAAATTATTTTATACCATAATTTTTTAAATAATATAATTTGTATGCAAATATTATAAATTATATATATTAATGGATAATTCAAATAAAAGTGAAATCATTGAGATACAAGATAATTCAATACATATTACATGTGGTTTAAAATTTAGTTTAAATGCTACTTAAATATTCAACTTTCACCTCTATTATGCTCCCATAAATGATCTATTAATGCATTACAAAGTGCAAAATGGGCATCTTTGTCCTTAATTTTTTTGTATTGACCTAAAAATTATTCAAATCGATGATTTTCATCTACTACTATTTCTACTCTTGGAGTTGGACCTTCCCAAATATCTTGAATTGGTACATTAAGGTCACGCTCATCCTCAATTATCATGTTGTCTAATATAATACATGTTGTTAATATATTATATAGCACTTCTTTTCTCCAAAACCGTGACGATCCTACAATAATTGCAAAACGAGCTTGTAAAACTCCGAATGCACGTTGAACATCTTTTCGATTTTAGGAACATCTTGTATTTTATATTTGCACCTTCATTTTTGTGATGGTTATATATTTTTTTTTATACAATTATAACTTATAATAAAATTAACTTATAATTTTACATAAAAATAATATATGCACGAAAATTAATTTATCAAAATTATACGCTAAAATTAAGATGTAAATTAATATTATTAAGATTTTACATAAACATAATTAGGTATATATAATATGCTAAATTAAAAAGATTAAATAATAATAAAATAATAGAAAATAGTGATGGAGTAGATGAATCACTATTCACCCTCCAAAATGAAGGTAAATTTGGAGGTGGGTTGGAGCAAAATTCCTCCCTTTTTTACTCCAAAATGGGGTTTGGAGGTAAAAAGCCATCTCCAACCCTTCCCTCCATTTTCTCCTCCAAAATGGAGTAAAATTATTCCAATAATTACTTCATTTTTTAATCCGAAAAAGAATATTCTATTTTATATTCTTCTCTCTCTTCAATATTATATTATTGTCTTTTATTTAAATTTTATTTTTTTATTTCTATTAAATAAATTCTATCTTTTTTTTTTTTACATATTTATCACATATAATTTATATTCCTTTCTTATATAGCTATTTAATATAAAATTATTTTATACCATAAATTTTTAAATAATATAATTTATAAGCAAA